TGTGTTTTTAAGTGAAACACTGTGAGAAAGCAAATTGTGCTTTTAGGACAGCACATTTGTCCAGCATAAAAAATGCTAACAAGTAGTTATCATTCTATGATTGAGTTGATCTGGTAAGCTAAAAAAAAAAAAAAACGCAGTAATGAAGCATATAAGTTAAGGTATACTTAAATTGAGCGTGTTTAACCTGCATTTCTCACTTTAATAAGTTTGTTAAAGTAGTGCTGAAAGTTGAAAGCTATTACTAATATAAATTAATGAATTTTTACAGAAATTATGTCAAAAGCAAAAGGTAACTAAGCAGAACTGCTGAGGGAGCACGCTGGCAATCCCTCTTGGTGCACTGTCAGATGATCTGCAAAGGTCACAGCCTCGCCAGCTGGTGGCAGCACAACCACTCTGCTGGCCCCTCTACCACCAGCTCCCTTCACCCATCTGTGGCCCAATCCACCAAACAAGTAACAAGGTGCTAGGTCAATGGAAAGAAGAATTTAAAAAGAAAACAAGATACTACAGTGTAAAAATTGCCTATCTAACTAAGTCTTATATACAGACAAAAAGTATTTTTGATCTTGTTTTGAGACTGATGTACTGTAGAAACCAAGAGCAGAATGAATAACATTATTAATCTTGTTTTGAGAATATATGTAAAATTTGGATTTAGAAACTAAGCAAGAAATATGCCTGTGAAGGTTCTACATCATGCAGGTCATCGTAGTCTAAGGAGCTTGGAACGAAAAGCATCTGGGCTTATTTAAGTTGCTTGACGACGTCTCACCTCTCATCCTAGAAGCTGCTTCAGTTCTTGGGTCAAATGGTGGAGAGTCCCAGATTTAAGCCCTGTGGGAGTGTCCCCCAAGAGGGACAAAAGGACCCCCTAATGATCCTCTACCTAATCACATGAGCCACGGTGTGAAAACGTGTAGGATACAATCAGCCAAGGTTTCGGGTGAGCTCATTGTGAAACCTAGTTCCACCCTATCATGTGATTTCCCGAGATCAAATGGCCCAAGGTCAAAGGTCAGGGTCACACTAACTAGGGAAAAGCTTTAGATTGCATTGGATCATCTCCAAATTCTCAAAATAAAGCAATATATTAGTAATTCAGTGGCATACAGCAGGTAAAATAATTAACTAAACACTTCACCAGTTTTCTAAGTAAATATATTTCTAAAGGTGCTATTGACATGAAATTATCACCTGATGTCGAAAATAACCCATCCAAATCATACATGCAAAGAAATCAAAGCATAACTGAGCAACATATCAAAAAAAGAAATTATGAGTTGTCTCATATTTTAATGGTTTATGATTAAGTTTAGTAGGTCAGGGGGCCTATGGGCAGCCCCCTGAACGGTGTTTATGGACTTTGTTCACCTGGAGTCATGGTCGGCCACCTGAACTGCTTCACCCTGAACTCTTGTGCCATCGACCTCTTATGCCCCTTGTTTTGGATTTGGTGCCCCAGTTTGTTTTGTTTTGGTTATGTTTCCTCTTTTATTTTGAAGAGGTCTGGTGTTCCATGTTCAGTGTGTGTAGTTCCCCTGTATTTAGTCTGTGTGTTTTCATCCATTCCTTGTCTGTTCATCTGCTTGCCTGCATTACTTCTATGTCACTATGTTCATTCCATGTTTCAAGTTTCTCCATGTTTCCATACACAGACTTCACGTTTCAGGTTTTCCACATCAAGGTTTCCATGTTCATGTTCATGTTCATGTTCAGGTTTTTATGTGTAGTTTCAGTTCATCCCAGTTTAGGTTTAGTTTCATCATTGCCCTTTTGTTTGTATTGTTTTCGCCAGCCTTAATAAACGGCTTGTTTTTTGTTATGCTCAAGTTTTGTCTCTTCATGTGTCTGCACATGGGTCCACCTCATCACGCCATACAGTCTGCCTACCAGATTGTGACAGAAATACATTAATGCAAATTACCAGCATGCTGTTAATTTGCATGAACAACAAAAAATTGCAGCCAATACAAAGCAAAGATGAAAACCAGCCCAGACTTAAAAGCAATTGCCACAATTCCACATGTTTCTACTTTAGAAACATGAACAGGTAGAAATGGAGGCTGCAGTCTGACTGCTCAGACTTCATGTGGCCTTCAGATTAGCTCAAGAACAGAGAGCTTCATGAAGCTGTGATGCAAGCTCCATGAAGCGCCATTAGCTTGAAGCTGTGTCATTTCAGAGCAGCTGCTGCCAAGACTTACACCACAAAGTGGAATGGAAAGCATCATATATAGTGGTGAGGGGCAAGCCAGCGGTGGACTCTAGAGCAAAGAAGTGTTCTCTTGAGTGAATTATCACACTTCTTCATCTGGCAATCCAATGGATGAGTCTTGGTTTGCTAGTTGCCAGGAGCACAGTACTTGCATGACTACACTGTGCCAAGATTAGTTTGGTGGAGGGGGTGTGGAGTTGTTTTTCCAGAAGTTGGATTCAGTGCCCTAGTTCCAGTAAAAGGAGCTGTTACAACCCAGTAAAGTTCCATTTATTTTACAATTAAGGCAAACCAACCAATTAGGACAGAAATTAAACACAGGGAAGCTCTAAGCGTCAGGGTCTCCAAGGCCAAAATAACAAACAAAACGACCCTTTCTAGCTAAAAAAAAAACACACACAAAAAAAAAGACCACTCTATCTGTACGAAAACAAAGTACAATTGCTAAGCTACCTGTCTATCCCCAAGAACAGGAGAAAAAAAGCTCAAACAAAGCAGTGAAGTCCTACCCCTTTCAGTGTGGATTACTCCAGTTTCTGTAACAAAGTCACACCAAACCCAGGGAAACGGGAGAATAAAGGGTGTAGCATTTTGAGCTGGCAGTCTTTATGCAGTGGTTGACAAGCAGCAACACATCTCAGCTGTATGAGGCAGACCTGAAACACAGGAGAAGGATAAAGAGCTCTCTCACATGGGGAGAACCCCTAGAGGTCAGCGACCACAGCAGGAGCTCCTAATGCTTCAAGATGCCGAGACATTTTCAACAGTTTTTTCCAATTTCATGCTTTAGAGTAATTTCATGTTTCTAATTTTCAATTTTCATAGATAATGAATTATAGTGGAACCAGAATTGGTTCTATCATGGGATCTTGTAGAACTCCTTAGTTATCATTATGTATGAAAGACTCCCCATTTACATGAACAAATTGGAGTCTCTGGGAAACCCACAGACCAGATAAGGTTTAGTTTTTAGTTTTTAAAGCTGAAGATGACAGCTCGGGGACTATCAGACTACATCTGGCTTAAATTTTTGTTAAGAAAGATATTGGTTTTGTTTGTTTTTGTTTGTTCTTGTATTACAACAGTTGTTGTATTACAATAGAATAATTTAGAAAGGCAAAAACACACCAGTACTTGAAACAGGCACACTGTTACAGAAGTATTTACTTGGAAAACAGAAATATTACAGGTAAAATTATAAAATAAATGTTCTGGAATATCAATATCATAAGACATATCATATCATCAAAACACACGCTGAGAGACTAAAACTTGAAAACAGACTACAAGAAACAGAGGTAGGTAAAATCAATTGAAAATCCAAGGTGTCATGTAGACCCAGGACCATGACACAAGGACTTAAATATTACCTACAATGAAAGTAAAAAGTGAACCTGAAATACAAAACTCAAAGAACCATAAACTTTACAGAAATTAAAACACTGGGTCAACAATCCAGGACGGTGACAAAAGCAGAAACTCATAATTAGTCAATGTATGTAAAATAAAATACACCTGCCCAGTGAATACACTTGTCTAATATTTGTGTTTTAAGCAATTCCGTTTCAACCATGTTAAGTTTGAAAAAGAAATGTTTAAATGTACCTTTTAATATGTCTTACTTTTATTGCATTATTTAGTGTCATTATATGTTAATGTCATGTTAAACTGATTTTGATCACAACACAGTTCCCCGGAGTATTCACCAAACATTTCTCTCAACTCCTTGTCATATAAGTTGAATCTAGTTTGGCTGTATAACAACAAAGGAAGTAAGATGTTATTCCTTTAAATTGTTGATAAGGAGAAATGAAACTCGTACTTCGGCCTGATCTTTGGCCTGATCCACCATCAATAAAACCTATAACCTTTACAACCTGCCATAAAATAATATTACTGGGAACAAAAGAGGGCGAGGTAAACTGCAGGTTCCTCTTAACACCTGATGTTCATGTGTTCAATTCAGTGTCGGTTTTCAGGTTTGGGGAAAAACAACTGTGCCGACATGGACACGTTGAATAAGATTTGTCTGCTCCTCATTCTATCCATTTTTGTTTGTGTCATCACTGGAAGTCCAATAGGTGAGTGCTGCCTGAATAGATGGAAAAAATGTTACTTTGCACCATAAACAGCTGGAAAAATAATGATGATTGTTTTCAGTCTATGCTGAATACCTTATTTTTACTATATACATATATTACATTATACTGATAATGGAATCATTAATCGTTTTTTCCAGTAGTTACAAAAATCAAACAGAAATACATGGTATTTGTGTAGTTATAGATGATAAATTCTGACAATGGGATACCTGGATTAATATTAAACATTTTGAGCTATCATTAAGTCCTGCAGGGTATCAGGCTATGCAGTGAGTAATCCACAGGTGACACCTTTTTCTACCCCATACTAAACGTACCATAAAGCTTTTTATTTCTGCTTAGACTATAGCAATGTCAAATTGTGCTGATAATGCTTGATTTCAAACTCCTTTCACATTTCAGTATTTGTGTTTCAAAGTCCAGTTTAGATTGTGTTGTAGTGTGTGAGAGAAAAGCTACGTTGATCATTTTAATGGCGATAAAAAAAAAATCTAGACTATTTTTAACTCTCACTGGTGCCTCAGTTCTTGTTTGTTTGTGGGAACTGAAGTAGCATTTGGATCCAATATAACTAACAACAATAATCTTAATTTAGCAGTAAGGATCCATTCTAATTAAGTGCTTTTATTGTTCATATGTATATTTTGTTATTAATAGTATTTGTTTTTTGTTGGATTGTTTGTTTGTTTTATGTTTGTTGTCTAAAACCATGAACGTGATATTAGGACCGGAGTAGGCTACTAACAGATTTTGCAGTTTTGTGTTGGAGTAAATTATTCACAGATTTTTCCCTGTCAGTGTGTCTTGTTTGTGTCATGGAAGTTTGTTTAATAAAACACAAGCACTTGATGAGTGTCTTTGAAATGGGCTTAATTACAAGCTGCAGCTTCCCCCAGGAGGCCCCCTTCCTCTTCAAGGGTGAGACAGGGGTCTCGAACTCCAGGCCTAGAAGGCCTGCAGGTTTTAGACCTCACCCTGGATCAACACACCTGAATGAAATTATTAGTTCATTACCAGGCCTCTGGAGAACTTCAAGACATGTTGAGGGGGTAATTTAGCCATTTGAATCAGCTGTGTTGGATCAACACACATCTAAAACCTTGAGTCCTGGAGTTAATGTCTAATGGTGCCTGGGTGTGCTAGTCTACCTCTAACTATTACAATACTACAATACTTAACTGTGTGGAATAAAGTATAAAACAGATATATGATCCTATCCTTCATTTAAAACTAATACCTATATATTATTGTCAGAACATGTGATCAATCCCCTAAGGTAAAATAAATATTTTTTTTCCAGGTAAGTGAAAGATTAACTTTGAACAAGGAGGATTTCATATAATATCAGTCATTATTCCATTAAATTCTGTTCTGCTTATCCTTCGGATATGTGGCGGGGGGGTTGGCGCCTATCCCAGCTGTCTTAGGGTGAGATGCAGTGTACAAACACCCTGGACAGGTCACCAGGGCTAACACATAAACACAAGCAAACAATTGGCACTCACATTCATCTATCTACTGGTCTATCCCCACTGAAATCAATCAAATTTGAGAAAATTTTCCACCTGCTCCATTCCAAATCAACTACTTTTTGGTTAAATAACTTTATCATAGCTAATGTTCATACTATTAAAATTACAGTTACATGCCCTCAAATTATATCAAATTATATAGGTATTTTATAATATTTGTTAAATATTAAATGTGAGATTTTATTTACTGAAGGAACTAAAAACCTTTTGATGATTAAACCCCATACAGCACGTACAAAAGGTGGGGTTTGTACGTTAAACCTTGGCCCTTTGCTGATATCAGGAGCAATGTGCCCTGTTCTGATATGGAAATTTCCATGACATCATGAGTGTATGAATTTTAATTGGTAACATAAAGTCACTACACATGGGAATATTATGGAAATATAATGTGAAGTGTCAACTGACAAACTAAATCATTATGGAGTTCTACAGTTGGTGTTTTCACAAACATATCTCCCACAAGCTAACTTGTAGCACATATCCTAAACAGCCATAGCAAAAGCTTTTGTGATTGAAATGGAGGAATGATTAAACACCTTGTCATACAGCTAGTGATGTGTCGGTTGTGAACGAAA